AGGTAATGCTCAAAAACAGCAACAAGGTCAAGGTGCTAATGCTCAGCAACAACAACAAGGTGGTCAGAACGATAACAATCAACAACAACAGGACCAAGGTGCCAATCGCCAGCAAAATCAACAAGAACAAGCTGGTCAAGCCGGTTGTGCACAACAATATCAGCAAGCGGGTCAGGCAACAGGTGGACAACAGCAAAAATACCCCCACATCATACACTAAAATCACTATCTTCCATAACAATAGATAGTTATGTTTATATTTTGTTTTCTAATTTTCCTTTTTCAGTTTATTCAAATTCATTTGTATTTTGAAAAAAGCATGTGTATATTCAAATAAAATAATTCTCTCGAAGAACTAATTTCTTTCAGAAAAAAGTGCGAGTATTATGCGAAACAGATTTTGGTACTGTAGTGCTAACCATTCATTCATGAAAATGAGAGATATATACCATAGAAGATAGTATACTTTTATGAACAGTTTCAGGGCCAAAATGGCATGAATCATAATGAATGATGACATTGACATCTATTTAGGATGCTGTATAGTAGTGTTAAACAGAGCTTGGAAATAAATACCTATCAGTGTATGATCAAGATTAAAAACAACAACCAGGGTCTCATTATGAGTAAAAAGCACATAGCTTTGCCTAGAGTTGGCTCTCATAAAGAGATACTTCGATATGATGGATTTAGTATCATGGGATTGAGGTAACAATGAAGTACTTCTATATCTAATCTCAAAGTGTCTGGAAAATAAGAGTTAAAGATGATGTATTAGTCCTATATAAAAAATATTGATCCACACGATCATGATTTATGAATCATTATATTAATTCTTGAAAAGTAATAATTTTCTGGTTTGAAGATAGATGCAAAGAAACAATTGAGTATTTTAGATACCATACAATGTAAAAAATAGCTGTAGATTAATAAACCCTGTCATTTACCCTTTTGGTTCGTCAACCCTCGGAAGGGTTTGCTATACGTTGCAATTTCATAAACCTTTCAGGGTATATCAGCGGTAATAATATACCTTTAAAAAGTTGATAAAATTCATCAACCCTTCAGAAAAGCGTTTATTGATTTACCCTTTAGAAAAATCTGTAGAGTAAAAAACGCTTTTCTGAAGGGTTGATGAATTTTATCAAGTTTTTAAAGGTATATTACCGCTCATATACCCTGAAGGATTTATGAAATTGCAACGTATGGCAAACCCTTCTGAGGGTTGATGAATCGAGAGGGTATCTGAAATGGTTTATGACATTAATAAATCCTAAAAAGGGTATATGACAGAGTTTATAAAGTTCATAAGCGTTTTTTCCAGAGTTTGGTAGTCTACGCCTATTTTGTAGTGTATTCTACATCTTTAGTTTTTTTTTCTTTTAGATTCTTATATAGTTAATAACTAAGTAGAAAAATGATGTTAAATAAAGTATTAAGCCAATGAAAGAGGAAGTAAGATTTGAAAATAACCAGTAGAAGAGATTTTGAGATAACTATTACATTAGTCATGACTCGCTTCGTTTTTCATAGAACCTTATAGCTGTTTGTTTCTGGTGTGAGTGTGGGTGTGGAGTGTTGGTGTCGGCGTGTGTATGAGTAAAGAGAGGATTGACTCCCACATCCCCACACCCACATCCACCCACACCCAGCTATGGCAAAGTTCATTCGGAGGAACACCAATCATGGACACAAAATTCATCGTTGCGACACAAAATAATTCAAACCTCGTCAAAGCATTAGTGCGACGCAGCCGAAACTTACCCACAGTTAAGCAACAGAAAGCGGAGGGCGTCTGCTTCCAATGGAAACCTGCAAGACTGTAACACTAACTTCTCTGACTGTTAAAACCTAATTGATTCACGTCATTTTCGTTTCCTCATATTTTTTCCTTATATTAATAAAACGTCAGTAAAATTGCAAAAAGTTTTTAAAACGAATCTTCACAATATATTGCCACATTCAATTGCTATATATATATCTAATGAGACCCTTAAGGAAGGTCGAAATCTGGATCATGGTGTGCTTGACACACCCACACCCACACCCTAACCGACAAAGAAAAGCATCTCAATCGCAATACTTTCGTAGACGATTTGGGTGTGATTACTGTTCGTGTGCTCATGGACGAATCTATCAAAGTCGACAGACAGCATTACAATTTAAAATGTTTGGAACTAAACAAGCGCATTGAAGTACTCGAACAAAGTGTCGAGAGACCAATATCCTCGATGGAAGACGCAAGCAAGCAAGGTAATGAATTGGCAAATACAGTGGGCGTTGCACTATTTAGCCAACTTCAACTGATTATGAATGTCAGAATAAAGCATGATATGCGCCAAGCTGTGACTATTTCTGATTTTATAGTACATGATAGCGTTCAAAAACAAGCTTACATCTCTAGTTTTACGATGGGTAATCCGGAAAATATTCTTAAGTATGTAACAGTTATCAACCGCTATTTTCTCGAAATCTGCTTGGATTCAATTCGTGGTGTATTCAATGCTGTCATAAATGATCAAACCGCAAAGCTTGAATCTCTTATTAATACATTGCTTATTGATATCAATCAGGCAGTCCATTCGAATCAATGTAAGAACTATGCAGAAGTGAATGCAGCCATTGAATCATGCGCTAACAAATCGTTTGTGCAAAATACCAAAGGATATACGAATGTAAGCTTCACGTTTTCGGCCGCTTCACGTATGAGCATTGGCCACAATGCTCTTTTCAAATCGGCTTTCAAAAGAATTCTTCTCTTTTCTTCAGAACTTAACTCCAAGGTCAAGTACATCATTAACTCTCTGTGGAAAAAGGCTTTTGATGAATCCATAAAAACTATAAAGCGGAAGTTAGGCTGCGACGCACAATGCCCTGGCTGCGGTTCCAAATGTGCAGTGGTAGGAGATC